TATGTTTCCCCACCGGGTCCTACTCCCTCCTTGACGCACGCAAGCATGGGGGGGGGCTCTCGAGCCGTATAAAAACCGGTTCGCGCGACAGACCGGCACCTTATTCCTTTCCAGCTTCCGACCAGCTCTGAATCTCAGGGAATAACCGAGACATCCTGACTCCTGACCGTTCCTGCCGATGGAGACGGGTGTGACCTCTCCGCCGCCTGGGTTTGCCCGGCATTCGGCTTCCTGACCGTTCCTGCCGACGGAGACGGGTGTGACCTCTCCGCCGCCTGGGTTTGCCCGGCATTCGGCTTCCTGACCGTTCCTGCCGACGGAGACGGGTGTGACCTCTCCGCCGCCTGGGTTTGCCCGGCATTCGGCTTCCTGACCGTTCCTGCCGACGGAGACGGGTGTGACCTCTCCGCCGCCTGGGTTTGCCCGGCATTCGGCTTCCTGACCGTGCACGCCGACGGAGACGGGTTTGACCTCTCCGCCGCCTGGGTTTGCCCGGCACTCGGCTTCCTGACGACGCACGCCGACGAAGACGGGTCTGACCTCTCCGCAGCCTGGGTTTGCCCGGCACTCGGCATCCGCGCACCGCCGCACTCCGCAATCGCGACACGCTCGCCGAGCGAAACCGCGACCGACCATCTAGGCTAAGTTTACCGTAAGCGTCCGTAGGTTAAGTTAGAAGGATAAGTACTAGCGCACCGTCGTAGGCTAAGCTCGCGTAATATAAGGTAGTTGTAATCACCGCGTAGGATAAGGCCTAGCATAAGATAGTTACGAATAAATTGATTCTTGAAAGAGGACTCGTAAGCTTGACTCTCCTACCTATTCCCGAACCTTGGCACCGGCGAGCCAGTCCGTGGCGAACGGGATAGGCCGCACCGTTACATGGCGCCCGAACAGGGACCGTTTAAGGAGAGTCCAGCTAGCGAAAAGCCTCATGACTGCGTGGATTAATAACCTTTCCAAAGAACAGCTTGTAGAATATCTCCACCGGTTCGAAGTGGATACCACAGGCCAGGTGGACCTGCTAAGACGCCGATTACGCCTGTACTTCGCTGCCCACCCGTCCGACAACCCGAGGAACAATAGCGGTGACGTACCAGGAGAAACCGCAACCATGCCCACCTTGAGTCCAACGGAACGCATCGAGATCATCAACCAGATCCGGAAATGGGGCCACCGTTTCGAAGGAGTGGACCCGCTCTCATTCCTAGAGAGAGTTGAAGAGCTAAGAATCAGTTATGGCCTCGAAGAAGACCACTTACTCTTGGGCCTACCGGAATTACTAAAAGGGGACGCCCTCTTGTGGTATCGAAACCACCACGATACCTGGGGCCAGTTTCTGCGAACAGTTCCGGGATTATTACCTACCGCCGGGATACCTGAGGCGACTAAAACGAGACGTCAGCGGACGCTCCCAAAAGCCGGGGGAGTCGTTTCGCGAATACTCCAATACGCTTCTCACCATGATGCGCCGAGCTGGGGGATACTCCGAGCGAGAACAGCTGGAACAAATCTACGAGAACATGAATCCCGAGCACCAACTCTATGTTCCGCTCACTGATCAGCTCACCATGAGCGAACTCCGGACCCGGATATCTAAGATTGAGGAAATCAACCACCGTCGACAGGATCGAACTCCAGCGACCGCCAAACCATCAGTAGCCGCCGTCACCTACAACCGGGAGGAATGCTGCTGGAGATGTAAGCAGCGAGGCCACACTCGAGTGGATTGTAAGCGGCCACCAAGAAAATTCTGCTCGCGATGCGGCAAGGATGGTGTCCTGACTCGCGACTGTCACCCGCCGACAGGAAACGCCCAACGGGCCGGGGACGTAGCGGCCGTCTCCCAGCCCAGCCTCGAATAGAATACCGTCCGCGCCCGCATCTCCAAGTGCACATCCGGCGACGACCGTTCGCGGCTCTCATAGACCCCGGATCTGAAGTCTCGTGCATACAGGAAGAGACTGCACGACTGTTCCCCGGCTGGAATACCCCGACTAGCCCAGAACCGAGGAGACTACGTCCTCCTGGCCGATAACACACGGGTAGGGGTCACTGGGGTATTGCGCCTGCCCCTCCGATGGCATGGGAGAACCTATTGGCACGACTTCTGCATACTCCCTGGGCTAGCTAGCGCTGTGCTGATTGGTACCGACCTATGGGCTAAGATGGGATTCACTTTGCCGCCATCTCCGTTGAACCAGACCGGGGCGGTTTCCCGGACCAACACGATCACCGTCGGACCAAATAACGAAGCAAACGAAGAAGCGCAACTCCGGGACTTTCTAGCCGCTGAGTTACCATTGTTTGAAGTAATCACGGGACGAACCGACCGAGCCGAACATCGCATCCGGCTAAAGCCTGGACCGCCCATCAAACAGCGGTACCGACCTCGAAACCCGGCTATGCAGGCCGTCATCAATGAGGAGGTCGACCGAATGCTCGCCGAAGGCGTCATCGAGCCCTCGAATAGCGCTTGGAGCTCACCGGTCGTCATAGTTCGAAAGAAAGATGGGCAGTATAGATTCTGCATCGATTTCCGCAGGCTGAATGCAATGTCAGATAAAGACGCCTATCCCTTGCCGCACATCACGGCTACGCTCGACAAGTTACGCGGGGCGAAATACCTGACTACGTTAGACCTAAAGAGTGGTTACTGGCAGATACCACTGAACCAAGGGAGTCGACCTGCAACCGCCTTCACCGTACCAGGGAAGGGTTTATACCAATTCACGGTCATGCCTTTCGGGTTGCACTCAGCCCCCGCGACCTTCCAGCGGTTGCTGGACGCAGTGATCGGCCCCGACCTCGAACCTAACGTCCTCGTCTACTTGGACGATATAATAATCGCCAGCAAGACGTTCAGCGAACACCTGCAGCACTTGAGAGAGGTATTCCGGCGACTACGTAAAGCAAAGCTACGCTTAAACCCGGATAAATGCCACTTCTGCCGTCCGAGCCTCCGTTACCTAGGACATGTAATTGATCGACAAGGGATACACACGGACCCAGACAAAGTCAGCGCCATCACCAGTTGGCCAGCTCCCACCACCGTGCGCAAGGTCCGGCAATTTTTAGGAATGGCCTCGTGGTATCGGAGGTTCATCCCGAATTTTTCGACACTAGCGGCGCCGCTTACAGCGCTGACCAAAAAACGAGCTGGCTGGACATGGGGGACCCCCGAAGACGCAGCCTTCCAACAACTAAAGGACGCATTGACCTCCACACCGGTTCTGGCCTGCCCGGACTTCCAGAAACCGTTCCTGCTACAAACCGATGCCAGTTCACATGGGCTAGGAGCCGTGCTAACGCAGCACCAGACGGAGGGAGAGCGAGTAATCGCCTACGCCAGCCGAACGCTCAACGGTGCCGAGCGGAACTACAGTGCGACCGAGTTGGAATGTCTCGCCGTGGTGTGGGGAATCCGGCGAATGCGAGACTACTTGGAGGGGTATCGATTCACCGTTGTGACAGACCACCAGTCCCTCAAGTGGTTGCAACATCTGGAAAACCCGTCCGGACGCCTGGGGCGGTGGCTCTTCGAACTGCAACAGTTCGACTTCACCATACACTATAGAAGAGGAGGACAAAATCAAGTAGCCGATGCCCTCTCCCGGGAGCCGCAGCTCAACGCAATGCAACACCGGATAGCGTGTCCATGGTACCAACGCCTCCTCAGAGAAGTAAAGAGCCGACCAGACGAGTACCCCGATTACGAAATACGTGATGGCCAACTGTTTCGACATGTGCTACACGACCTGGATTTTAGCGAGGTACCCTCCACCGAGCAATGGAAACAATGCGTCCCTCGGGAACAGCGGCTCGACATTCTACGCCGGCTACACGACGACCCAACCGCAGGGCATCTAAGATCATCGCCCGACTCGCCCGGTTGTACCACTGGCCGGGGATGTTCCGGGAGACAGCCCGGTACGTTCGGAGCTGTCCGAGCTGCCTAGCCCACAAGGTACCGCAACAACGACCAGCCGGGAATCTACACGCTACCCCAGTAACCGCCCCGTGGCAGCAAGTCTCAGTGGATCTAGTCGGTCCTCTGCCACGCTCGGTCCGTGGACATGTCTGGCTCCTGACCGCCCAGGACCGGTTCAGCAAATGGGTCGAGATGGTTCCCCTGCGCCGCGCCACCGCCACGGCACTGGCGAAAGAAGTGACCCGCCGCATCATCTACCGGCATGGATGCCCGGGCCAACTCATCTCGGACAACGGGACCCAGTTCACCTCCCGCCAGTTCCGTACCTTGCTGGCGTCATTCGGGATCCAGCACCGCACGTCACCTGTCTACGCGCCGCATTGCAACCCGGTGGAGAGGGCGAATCGGACCATCAAGACCATGATTAGTCAATACGTAGGCAACCGGCACCGGGATTGGGACGAGCACATCGACGCGTTGCAGTTCGCGGTGAACACCGCTCGACACGAGGCCACCGGATACACCCCGGCCTTTCTACTCCACGGCCGCGAACTGGCACCTCCCCATCCTGCCGAGCGACAACCAACGCCGAACTCGACTTCCCCGGAGTCGCATCGACAACGCCTGGAAGAGGCCTACGAGATCGCCAGAGTGCACCTAGCCCGAGCCTTTCAAAAACAGGAGCGCCATTATAACATGAGACGACGCGACTGGCGTCCCCGGGTGGGCGACAAGGTTTGGAAGCGAGAACGCCCCCTGTCCAGCCGAGACGACGCGTTTAACGCCAAACTCGCTCCTCGATTTTCGGGACCCATGGAAGTACGCAGGATAATATCCCCAGTCGTGGATCTACGCGACGAACACGGGAAATGGCATCGGCATATCCACGTACAGGACCTGAAACCGCAACCGAACATACCAGAAAGCCCTCGGGTGGACGAGGATGACGCATAATCCGGCAAAAAGTTACCGACCACGCCGAAATACCGCCACCTTGAAGCATTCGGACGAACTCCGTTGCTAAGGAATTTCCCTTAGAGCCACGGGCCCTCTACTGCCCGACCTGCGGATGGCGGACCGCCTATTGCCCGACCTACGACCGCCGGTCCAGCTACTGTCCGGCCTACGACTGCCGGCACCGCGACTACCCGACCTGCGACCGGACTCCGCTACTTCCACTGGAACCACGGGACACCCCGAGCCATCGGAAATTCCGCGAACCAATCCCCTCCAGGAGCAGTGCAGCGGGTATATAAGGCCGTGCAACCGCGTGCGGATTAACAGTCGCTATGAATCGACACGAAGTGGAAGAACTCTTCGGAGTCATGAGCTCGAGCTCGGAGTCCGAAACAAGCGGGCCTACTACCGCGCCGACCACGACGCCGCCAACGCCTGCCAAGCCGCCTCCAGCGGCTCCGAGCCCGGGACGATCCCGACGACCACCGCGGCCCGGGACATCCGTCCAGCGATCCGACCAGGCAAACCGACGGAAGGTGATCATCCTGACGACGCCGCCGGAAGAATCGCCGCCCTGGCCGACCCCCGGTCAGCTAACAGCCGTCCACCGGCCGATAGGACCAGCCAGGCCTCGACAGCCAGGCCACCGACCACCGGACCGCACCCCTCCACCGGAGCTCCTACCGCTCGGCCTGCGAACACCGGTCCGCCGACTACCCGGCCCATGACCGCCGACCCCGCGACTGCCCGACCTACGACCATCCGGCCGCCTACCGCTCGGCCTGCAAACCTCGGGCCACGTACCACCCGGCCTGCGACCGTCGGACCACCTATCGCCCGGCCTGCAACCACCGGGCCATCCACGCCCGTCAGACCATCCGCCACCCGACCGCAGACCGCCAGGCCACCCATCGCCGGGACCATTCCCGTCCGCTTGGGCGACGGCACCGTGGTCGAGGTCCCCGCCGGGTCGGCTATCATCGGGCGGAGATATAAGGTCCGCACCGCGTCGGGCCGATGGGTGATCAGGTTCCACCCAGACGGCCGCCCCCGAGCGGCCCGGCGCCTCGACGGACCCCCCTGAGCGCGGGGTGGTGTGACGATGCTCTTGCATCGTCCCTGTAAATATTGTAAATAGTATTGTTAATTCGTTCACGTGTTCATTCGTTCATTATTCTTATGGTTTGTAAAATAAAGAGTTAACTACAGTAATTTCTCGAATGAATTCCTTACTCGACGCCTATGGCGCCCACCTGCGATCTCGCCTATGTTTCCCCACCGGGTCCTACTCCCTCCTTGACGCACGCAAGCATGGGGGGGGGCTCTCGAGCCGTATAAAAACCGGTTCGCGCGACAGACCGGCACCTTATTCCTTTCCAGCTTCCGACCAGCTCTGAATCTCAGGGAATAACCGAGACATCCTGACTCCTGACCGTTCCTGCCGATGGAGACGGGTGTGACCTCTCCGCCGCCTGGGTTTGCCCGGCATTCGGCTTCCTGACCGTTCCTACCGACGGAGACGGGTGTGACCTCTCCGCCGCCTGGGTTTGCCCGGCATTCGGCTTCCTGACCGTTCCTGCCGACGGAGACGGGTGTGACCTCTCCGCCGCCTGGGTTTGCCCGGCATTCGGCTTCCTGACCGTTCCTGCCGACGGAGACGGGTGTGACCTCTCCGCCGCCTGGGTTTGCCCGGCATTCGGCTTCCTGACCGTGCACGCCGACGGAGACGGGTGTGACCTCTCCGCCGCCTGGGTTTGCCCGGCATTCGGCTTCCTGACCGTGCACGCCGACGGAGACGGGTGTGACCTCTCCGCCGCCTGGGTTTGCCCGGCACTCGGCTTCCTGACCACGCACGCCGACGGAGACGGGTCTGACCTCTCCGCAGCCTGGGTTTGCCCGGCACTCGGCATCCGTGCACCGCCGCACTCCGCAATCGCGACACGCTCGCCGAGCGAAACCGCGACCGACCGTCTAGGCTAAGTTTACCGTAAGCGTCCGTAGGTTAAGTTAGAAGGATAAGTACTAGCGCACCGTCGTAGGCTAAGCTCGCGTAATATAAGGTAGTTGTAATCACCGCGTATCGAAAAAAAAAAATTATATTTTCTAATAAAAAAGAAAATTATATTTTCTTTTTTTCAAAAAACCTGCGCTGAAGAGGACTTAAAAATAAGTCGAAACGTCCGCACATGTCATCAAAAATTTTTATAATTGTCTGTATCAAAATTATATATCAATCTTGTAATTATGATTCACTAATACACATATATATTTAACAATCTTTAATAATCGTCAGCTCTCTATGCCTTATTGACCACTTTACGTTTATAAAAGTTTAGTTCGATATTTGACAGTGATACTTCGAGCGGGGTTAAATATGAAAATGATGAATAATGAGAAGAGGAAAAGGAATTAGTTAAGGGAGAAATATAGAAATGAGAGAATGGGATGAATATTTTAAAATAAAAATAATTAAAAAATTGAATGCGTAGAAAAAAAGCGCGCGCTGCGTGCTAGTCCACTATTAAAAAAGGCATGTTAAATTGATTCTCGCATGTATTGTTGCCGCTTTTCCGCGATGCTGATTGGTTGTCTCGCGATTCTCTCTCATTATGAATATATATTCAGAGTATAAATTTGTTATCATCGCGGGTAATCGTTTATATTAATAGGTTAATAGTGTGTTAGAAAAATATTTTTATTATTGTATAATTATGCTATGCTATTGTTGTGTGATTAATAAGTTGCTATGTGAAAAAACAGAAAAAGTAGATTTTATAAGAAATACTTTAGAAGAAGAAATTATCTTAGTAGAAGCGATATGTCGGATCAAAAGGAATTTAAAAGAATGTATGAAGAAGTGGATAAATTATCTGAATTTGAACAATTATTAGATGGAAATGGAAGTTGTGTTTTCTAATGAAACGTTAGATAATATTCGAATGAATGATTCGACCGTGTAAGTACTTAAATTATAATATATATCATTTTTTTTAAATTAAAATTTAAAATATAAATTCTTATAACTTTTACATTATCAAATTGTTAATGAGTCTTGTTAGAAGTTCGCAAGAGACGCGCAAGAGAAAAGTTGGGAAAGTTTTCAAGCTAAAAAAACTTTACATAAAAGATAAAATTTTCTTCTTTTGACAGTTGGTTTACAAGAATTATTTACGTTTTATTTACTGTGTTTCTCTCACATATATTTATATTCTTTTAACATATTATATCATTTTATTATATTATTTGCATTGTCACACGAACAATATTTTATGAAAAACTTTATTTATTGAAGAATTATATAATTAACATAAAATTATATGTAGCATCTGTGAATATAACAAATAATTACATTTGTTGTGTGTGAATTTTTATGATATTGTAAATTTCTTTATTATAATTTTTATTTAAATCACGTGTTATTTATTTTTCATCAAATTATATTAATTTTTTTCGTAATTATTTTTCGTAACTTTTTTCTTTCTTTGTTTTTTTTCGTTAACTTAAGGAATAATTTTTTTAAATTAATAAATTGATAAAGAATTAGGCTCTTTATGTATTTAACAATACGATACACTAAAAAAGAACGATTAAGAGTCACCGCGGTTGGTAGTGCGTAATTTTTTTTTCTTTTATAATTTCTCGCAAAAATTAAAACGTGACAATATCCATATATTTTACTTGGTGCATTTACCAAGATATAGATTTTCATTTTCAAGAATACTATAAAATCCTTCTTTACCCCCCTGAAGAGATGTAGGCGAGAAAAATTTTTTTAAATGTTTATGTTTTTGAAATTTTATAAGAAGTACACTTTAGAAGAAGTAAATCATCTTAATAGAAGCGATATGTCGGATCAAAAGGAATTTGAAAGAATGAAGAAGTAGATAAATTATCTGAATTTGAACAATTAATAGATGGAATGGAAGTTCTGTTTTCTAATGAAACGTTAGATAATATTCGAATTAATGATTCAACCGTGTAAGTACTTGAATTTTATATCATTTTTTTCAATTAAAATTTAAAATATAAATTCTTATATCTTTTACATTATTGCTTTTATATATTTCGTTTTTATTAATAATTCTACATATTTTATACTGTAAATATTTTATAATTTTGTGTGAAAGAAATTAACTTTTCCATATATATTGTAAATTATTATATTCTGTATTTCTGTTTTTTGTTTATTTATTATAAATTTTATAAACGTTTGTAAATTTTTTAAATTATTTCTTTAATAATAATTTGAAAGAAAATTTAATTACACAGTAAAAAATTTTGTGTTAAATTTAACGTATTTCTTATGTCCCAATTTACCCACTCTAATTTTAATGTTAATTTAACAGAAGGCAAGTATGTAAATAAATAACACAAGTAATATGTTTAAAAATTAACACAAAAGTGTAACACTTAAATTTGATCTGGAAATAAAGTTTATGTTAAATTAACATATTTATAATGTTAAATTTAATTAAAAGGAAATGTTATTCTTACATTTTTATGATAAATAACAGAAGAGATATGTCGATTTAACATATGGAAACTGTTATAGAGAGAAAAATAACACAACTTATCTGTTCATTTTAACATATAACATATTTCATATTTCTTTATATGTGCATATATACAGGGTCTACCAAAAGTGTGGAAACCCCTAAATATCTCGGAAAATATACGTTTTACAGAAAAGTGTTTCCAACAAAAGTTGTAGGGTTTAAGAAGATCTATATACTGATTCTATCAGTTTGACCTTGGATGGCGTCGTCAAGGTCAGGTCAAGGTCACATTGACTTTTTTAAATGACACCCCCTACATTTGATTGCATATTCTTATAGCTTAATTCAAGAGCTTTCCAAAACACTATAATAATGTTCATTTTTATTAAGTACTTTGCGAGTTATGAGGGTTGAATGATAGAGTAGCGCCGGTATTAACATTATCCAAGGTGTACTACATGGAGGTTACTCGCTCGGATTTGCATCTGTTGTGTGTGTGATCCAGCTAACTAAGGCAAGATCGGTCGTGGATCCAATCAGCAAAAGCAAAGACCCAACCAAATTACAATCGAGCATTTAAAGACCTGGAAAGCAATCGACATAGTAAACAGTAAATAAATTTGTGGATGCTCATTTATCATAATAATTGTTCGAAATGTGTGCGTGTGCGTGCGTGCGGTGCGTGTATACAGAGATCAGGTTAGGTTGCACCAAACGATTGCAAATGTGTTTCAATGTGTTAAAGTAAATGCTGAAAGTGGCTGCCATTTACTTCCTGACAATATGCTAATCTTTGGTAGAATGTAGAAATGACTTTACGATTCGTTTCAAAAGGTATCAAAGCCATTTCATCCCTTATTCGCTGTATCAATTCGTGAATGGTTTTAGGTTTTGTTCTGTAAACCTTACTCTTCAGATATCCCCATAGATAATAATCAAGAGGAGTTAGATCTGGTGACCGAGGTGGCCAATCCTCTCCTCCCTCATTTCCGTTCCTTCTTCCTATCCACCGTAGCGGAAAAGTCTCATTTAAAATACGACGTGGTCCTGCACCAAAATGAGCAGGAGCTCCATCATGCTGAAACCATATTTCTTGGAAATTATTTGGAAAAGTATTCTGTATGGCTGGAATTATTTGATCAACAAGTAATCTCTCATACCTTTGAGCGTTCAAATATTCTTCAAAAAAAAACGGCCCTATTAAATAGCCATCTATTATTCCGCACCATACATTTATTTTTTGTGGATGTTGTGTGTGAGTTTCCCGCACCCAATTCGGATTCTCATCTGACCAGAAACGAAAATTTTGATTATTAACTTCTCCCGTTAAGGTAAAAGTTGCCTCGTCTGTGAAAACAATTTGATAAGGGAAGATGGGCCGGACATCTATTAGTGCCATCATTCTTTCACAGAAATGTATACGACGCTCCTCATCTCCGTTTTGCAATTCTTGAACGTATTGCAATGTATATGGATGGAACTTGTTCTTCTTTAAAATTCTCCAAACCGACATGGGAGCAATATCGTGAGTTTGAGCGACTCTCTGAACACTAGAATTGGGATCTTCAATAAATGTCTGCAGAACATC